CTGCACGCAATCAAGCACGAAACTTGATTCTGAGGCAGTTAAATCATACTCAATAGGAAACTCCTACTGCAAGCATGATTTGCCAAGGGTGGCACGCGATCGATAATAACCAAGTATTCTTTTTTTTTATTATAACCTTGTCGTTTATTAACTGTCATTCTGTCATTTCGAGCGAATCGACCAAGCCACGATGCAGTACTTTCATCACCCTCCCAACCACCACGCTGTAAGTGAAAACGTCATTGGTACGGTTGTCCAGAGGAGACAACCAGTGCACCACTCGTTTTTCGTCGGAGTCGGGCTTGGCATACACGCTGAACTCAAGCAACAAAACTGCAACGATGAGCCTAATCGGAAACAATCACGTCAAATATCACTAAGTGGCGGTATTTGCTCAACGATTCGGCGCCCGCTTACAATGCAAGAAATCGACGCTATAACAGATCAGGACACGCAAAGAGAGCTACGCATTATTTTGAAACAACGCAGAGATCGTCGGAAGATAATTCAGCAACGACACCACAAGAAGAAGCAGAAGATGGTGGGACATCTCGTGGCCTCCATTCCAAAACTTCGGAACGAGATCGAACAGCTACAGCTACAGCGTTTAAGCTTGATGGAGAAACTGCGGAATGATAATGTCTGGTCCGTTGCAATTGAGTACTCCAGTCTCTTCCAGTGCGGAAAACCTGAACTGAGGGCTTCCCAGATGCGTGCTTGCAACTTCTTGACAACAAGTATGTCACCAGATCTCGATACTGGAATAACGTCAGGTATCGAGGCACTTATGAAACGTTGGAAGACATTCACACGGCTTTTTCCTAGTGGCCACATCCAACTCGAGAACCTCAGGCAATTGACAAGTGATTCCCTCGTTGCAACGACCAGTACAAGTGTTACTCTTACGGAACACGTACTTCAGCACTTATTTCAACACGGGTCTGATAACGGCAAGGCCCACAGTATACGCCGGGGACGGGTCTTCTCCAGACTACAGGGTCAGCACATTGTCATGCGTGGGTCCGTACGATTTGGCTGGGATGAAGGGGCCAAGCGCGTAGTCAGGTTGTACTCTCAGACTGATATCCTGACTCCAATGTTGGGTCTTCTGGGCAACTTGGAGGACGTTTCATTTATTTTTAGTGGTGCCCTCATCACACCCGACGGGCATTTTGTCCATGAGTATGCATCACAGCACCAATGAAGCAATACACGTGATGTCTGGATGATTTTTTTTTACATCAATGTGAAGTTTATTGTATGAACAGTATTTTTCTCCTTTTTTTTTACTTCGTACTGTTTAGCTCCACGAAGAATCGGGGTGGGGGGAGCAGGCGCGATCCTATTAATATACTACTACGCGTTTACACAGTAAGTTTATCAGGTATGATGACATATGTTCTCAAGCGATTCTCAGCGACAATTTCTTATCGACTCAATTAAGATCTCTAGTTTTCAGCAGAGGGTAAAGTATCTTTAAAGGGCAACCAGTACAATGGTTGTACAACAGAGGTTAATGCGACTATACGGCATCTAATAACGCGTTCTACGTAATAATGTGAGTAGCCCTCCTGCAATAGCAGCTTGAACGCACAGTGTAACCTGTTAGAGTATCTCTACATCGACTAGATGACGCATCTGTAGAATCCATTGTGGTATGTACAAGACAAGACAGACGGGGGTGATTTGCTTCTGCAATTTACCCAGATTTGACACCAAGACAGTTAACTCTCTTTTCGCACCGAAGAAAGCTTTATGTATTTAGTAAACAATTAAAATGTTCGTGCTGTACGCTTTTAACTAAAGCTTTCACTGTTGCAAAAAAAATGCATGAAATTTGCGTAGCAATTTTACTTGCACTCTTGATTGCTACTCGCTTATAGCCATTTGTTGAGAGCAAACGTAAAAACCTGGAGGTAGAAATAGCAGCATGCGTAATCTTTGCGGACCTCGTGGAGATCGTGATCATCGCGTAAGCAGTCATGGCCTCCATGAGGTTGT